TATTTGTTATGATATCCTTTTAATTGTATTTAAGTAGAATGATAAGAAAAAGATAGGTTATGGTTCTTTAGATGACATATTCGGAAGTAGTAAAGCATATATAAAATGAAATAACGAAGAGGTCATAGAATATATTTTTCAAGAGACTAATTAATCTGTAGAGTAAATACATATTTATGTATAAATTAATAAAACACTAAACTTTGAATACTGAATCCTACCCCCTAAACCTGAACCTTAATCTATGAACACTGGTAATAAGAAGTGTATTTATTTACTAAAATATATAAATTAATATAAAAAAAGAACAGTTAATATGCAATTTTTTCTGTCTATTAACATGCGTATCGGTATATGAATGAAATATATGATGAAAATATTTAGAATATTAATTAGTTAAATATAAAAGGGAATTGCATCATAAATAGTATCATTTGTAAAATTATATAATAATGATATATTTCATTAAATATAATTATATTGGTAATAATTGAATAAAAAAATATAAAACAGCCATTATTTACAAGAATATTTATAATTCAGAAACATTTATATCTGAAATTTGTGAATATAAAACTATAATATAATGAAAAGGATATTATTAATATAATGATAAATGTTTTTGCTTTCTATAAAGCCCTATAATTAAGGTATTATTAATTAGCTTTATAAGATAAGTATTAGTTTTTTCGTTATTTACTAAATCATACATATGGTTTTGATTATAATTATGGAGTAATTTTTATAATTTTATTCCTAGACAATAATAAGAATGTTTTCCTTACATTATATCACTAATTTTAGGCAGCATGTAATTTATATTAGGATGTGACTAATTTAAAGATGCAAATACATTAAATTGTGTAGTTTATAATTATTTATTTAACTTAATTAGGAATCTCTTATCAAATGAAGCGAATACAATAATCTATTATAATGTTCTAAATAATACAATGAATTGTTAGTTAAACTAAAATATGGATTAATTATATTCCTTTAGAACAAGAAAATAAACTCATATATATTATCTATATATACGTGCTCTTAATAGTATAAGGGATAATTCTAAGGTAGCTATAACTGAAATATATATAAAAGGTGAAAAAAATTATACAAAAAATACTTTAGTGGAAAAGAACAAAAGAAAAAGAATTAGATATATTTGTGTAAAATATTTTCGTGTTTTCGTACATATCTATATCATTTGGTCTCTCTTAATTTAATTAGGTGTATATATATATATATCTACTTTTATTTATTAATTTCTCATATTTTTAGCATAAAATATGAATATTATTAAATATATCTTACGTAAATATGCTTATGTGCTTTGAATTTTATTTTTAATTATCAAAAATTAATAAAGAAAAAGGATTACAATATATATATCATTTGCATATAATTAATTGAGTTTATATCATAATTGTTTTCTGGTATATATTGAATAATGGGGTAATTTATGTTCTATCAAAATCACTAATGAAGGAATTATAATAATATATAAAAAATTACTTATTATATGTTACAATTAAATATAAAACCATATTTAAGAAAACGAAATGTATTCAAAATATAAAATACATCGATGAAAAAAATATACATTATGAATAAAACAAAATATTTAATTCATACATAATTTATGAATCAAAATCCAGGTTTAATAAATATAACACAATTATTTCACAATTTTTTTATACTTCGATAATTAAATAGTTTGTATACTGTATAAAATTTACACTAAATATATATTTTTTGACAAATGACGGTACATAAGAGAAATTGTGCTTATATTTTTTTGGGTTTTAATAAATAGATTAAGTAAAATAATTAATGATTATTAAAAAAAAAAAAATTTTATAAGTACAAGTCTTCATAAAAATTTTCATGTCTTATATATTTTTATATATGAAACGTAATAAATATGGCTGTAATTATTTAATTTCATATTTAAAAATTTTTATTTGAAATATTCATTGCATAGTAACATTGATATAATACTCATAAAAAATATAAATATCATATATATCAGATGTTAGATCTAAAACTACACTTTAATAATGTATAATAAAAATAAAAATGAATTCAATGTGTTCTAAAATTAATGCATTAGGACCACATTTTTAAAGGTATTAAAATATATACATTTTCTATTTTAACATTAATATAAATTGGAAAATAAACTCATTTCACTTGTTAATTTGTATTAAATCATTTTTAAATATTAATTATTGGATTTTAATTGAATTAGCATAAATTATCATTATGCATATCAATAGAATTAAAATTTTATTTAGGTAAAATTATTATTTAAAAGGCTTAAAGTAATTCTCATAAAAATAAATTTTTCCCTTCAGAAACATATATTTTTATACTTAAAAACACGAGTATAATATTATTAATGTAATTATGTTAATGTCAATAAAATAAGAACATTCTTATAAATTATTTCATTTTTCTAATATAGTTTGTATAAGAGAATATAGCATATATGTATATTTATAAGCTATTTTAATATACGAAAAGTTACACTATTCATGAAGGTATAATTGAAGCAATAATATATTAAAATTAAACAATTATATATATGTAATTTAATAATCGTAATAATCATTATACGTCGTAGCTCAAATACGCTAAAGCATATGAAATAAAAAGTTAAGATTTTTCATCTTCGCATATCAATATTTTTTATATAATAATGTATAATTATTTGTACTCTAACAATTGATATTCATAAAGTACACTCATAACAAATTCTTATAGAGAATGGAGTAAATATATTTTAATAAATAAAAACAAAGAATTTTATCAGACATTTTGCATTCTATTATGAATTAAAAAATTTATCTATAATATATTATTTATATATGTGAATTCCTTATCTTATGTTTTTATATAAGTAATACTTCTTCCTTATGTATTTATATATACGCATATATTAATAAAAATGTAAATAATTTTAAGAATAATTACAAAATATTCTATATATTAATTGACATATATGATTCTTACATAACATAAATCAAAATATCCTTGTAATTTATATCGTTACGATAAAAATATTAGTATTTAAAATACATGTGTAATTTTAACTATTTTTAATATAGTAAACTGCTTTTAATATATATTAATAAATAATACAATTATTATTCTTTTATAATGTATGAAATATAAAATTTTAATTGATTTATAGTATGGCAATATATATAGAATATGAGGAGAATAAATAAGTTTACAACTTCTATTAAAATTATTGCATTCAAAGTTCTCTTATGTATATACCATTATTATGAAGATGAAGTATATTAGTTATATATATGAATAATGTAAATTTTATGTAATATTATTTATATATAAAAAAAAAATTACCCTTATATTTAACCATATATTATATAAATATATAATATATCTTTATGTAGGGCATATTTTCTAAATATTTTTTTAACGCATTTAATGCTGATAATACTTATATTACAAGAAATGATCGCATACTGGCTATAAAGATATTTCAAAGCAAATATAAACAAGAAGTTTTAAAAGTTAATTTAAAACTTTTTAACCCAAAATATACTATAAACAATGGTTGCCATAAAATATCCTCTATATACAAAGATATGAAATTGCTTAATGAATGTGTTGAAGAATTATTATTAGATCTACCTGAAAAATTAGATAAACATGTAGTAAAAGATGAAATAACGAATAAAACATTAGAAAGAGCCCTATTTAAAGATTATCCTATAATCCATGTTATTCCATTAAGCAGAAGAATTGCTACTATATTGTATGATTTTACTGAGAAAAAAATACATGAGATTGCTGTTCATTCTACATATAATTCTTTAGTTATTATTTTAACACATAAATGTAATTCAAATTTATATGGTAAATATACAGAGTTAAATAATGTAGCATTTCTTACTATAGTGGTTATATGTTTATCACAAGTATTATATAATATCGGAAAATTTGATTTTTTAAAAAAATATGAGACTCCTGAAATGAGAGAAAAAGAATTAGCCAAGGAAAAAAAATGGGAAATTAAAAAAAAGAGAGAACAGAATGTGTTAAAATATAAAGAAATAGAAAAACATGGAATAAACGATTTGGACACTTACATGAAGTACTATAAGCAAAGATATTATAGTAGGAAAGTATTAGGAAAGTTTGACTGTTACTGTGAAAAAAAAATATTCGATAAAATCGAAAAGATATATAATATTAATAATAAAAATGTAAGAAAAAGAGTGTGTAAGAAATATATACTTTTTGGTATGTCATACTTATTATTTCAATTATTTGGTATCATTATTCCTGTGTTAGACTTGGTTAAAAGTAGTGTGATTTATGACGTTTATGCAGAAGGTTATAGTGTTATTTGCAAGGGTGTTAATAAAAATCATACTCATAATGTTAGTAAAGACGGAATTCTTTATTATGGATTTGGTAGTATTTTGAAGACTTTAAATATATCAAAGGAATTTTTTTATATTTATATCACATTTTTATTATCATTTATATTTATGGTGTCCATTATATACGTAATGATAAAAATTGTAAAATATGAACATTTAAAACGAAGGAAAGTTAAAATGAATTTTATTGAATATTTTTCCTTCTGCAAAGAAGTGTTAACTAAATTTTAATGCTTAAAAGAAATATAGAGAGTTATCGTATGAATATATATATAAATTTTTCTTAATGTAATGTATATTCCACATTTGTATAAATATCAAATGAATCATCGTAATAGTATTTATTTTTTATGGTATGTCTCTATATAAATGCTATTTGTTTCTATTTATGCATGAAATATTTATATTTTTAAATTAATTTCACATAAAATAAATTATTATGTGTGAATATCCTTTACATTATGAAAATTATTTGCTTACTTTTATGTAACAGTTTATGGTTTAGAATTTATGGAATAGAATAAAATACAGATTTTTTTAATTATTGAATGTTTTTTTATGAAACTATTATGACTATTATATTTACATGATAATTATTTTTTTATATATTATTTATAACGTATTTTATTATTATATAATTCACCATATTTTTAAACAAATATTTATATGTATGTTATGTTAATTCCTATAATATAGGTAACGTATTTTTTTCAAAATATTTTATTCGATTATAACATCTATAGTAATAATTTTACGATAACTATTTTACGTATAGATGTTATCTTATATTGTATGTATACTCAGTTTTAACATATGTACAGCTGAAATGTTATAGTTTATCTTTGAACTTATATCTGAATATTATTCAACTAATTTTTTTTACTATTATTATGAATGATGTTATAAATATAATGTAAATAAAGTCTAGGATTAAATAAAAGGAGTCAAATATTTTTAAAATTATGTCATATATTATGTCTTTATACTTCAATAAACATTTTTATGAACGTTCCTATCTTTGCATGTATGTTCTAATATGATAGATAAGTAGTTTTATGTTTATTATAACCTTTAATTTATTTTGGATATATATCATTAAAACTGAAGCAAAAATAGAAATACTTAAAATTGCAGAATTTATAAAAATTACCTTACGGGAAAATATAATGCTTTTTTGTCAAAAAAAGCATATTCTTAAATATTGTACATATTGTAATTTAAATAAAATGTATAATAAAAGGTCTCTATTCACATCCATAGTTGCAACCAATGAATTATATATATATAAATTAACACAGGTCTATGCTTTATATTTTTTATACAAAATTATTTTGCATTAAAAAATTTAGAATATATAATATATTTCTTACAGTATGTTTTAAATATCTTAAATAATCGATTATATAAAATTATTAAATATTTGTGCTTCTATTTAATTATGCTCATCAAATAAATAGCTTTATTAATATTATTTATAGTTCAGAAATATATTTTTTCACGTAAATTTAAAACATAACAAAAAGATTAATAATAATGAAATTATATAAATATGTTAAAAAATAAACATCTCTAATTTAATATATATTATACTATTATAATAAAATAATTAGTTGTTATATATACAATGAACTATATATTCACAATATAATATTTTCATTCTATTATAGCTATTATGCTTTTATGGGCACGGGTTTTATAATTCACGTGTTCATGATTTACTATATAGGAAATTGTTATAAAAAAATGTTGTCAACATAATATTTTGAATTATCATAATTTTCATAAATTATACAATTTGAGGTTAATGAAGATATGCAAATTATTAATAATTTTAGAGTATTTTATTTTAATATATTATTAAATTTAATTAAGAATTTGAAACTTATTCAGATAAATTTAATTATTTCTTTCTAATAAAAATATTATGAAATATATATTTTTTTTTGAACATTGCAAGAGAATAGGGATAATAATATTAATATTATCTTTAATTTTAGCAATAGATTAAATTGTTTATGTTAATGCAATTTTTTTCTTTCTAAGTATTCATCAATGATATAGTAAGATAAATATAATAATGATATGTAGTAAATACTATAATCATTATAGTAACATCAATTAGAACATAAGAATGTAAGTAATAATGAGCGTAAGAATATCTACTATTAATTGTAATAGCAAATAACATACCACACTATTATAATGTTTAAATTTCCATATTAATAACAAAAATATAAGGATATGTAAAAGAATAAATAATTTAGTGTTTCCTTTCATGTTATTACTCTTCAATATTGCCATCTATATAGTAAATATCATTATTTATCAAATAGTTCTATTTTTATCTTTTTGTAATAGTTATTAAATGATATTAATATAAAGAACACATAAAATTGAAAAAGTTCAATTGTTTACAATATCTCTATAGTTGTAAAATATAATAGAGTATTTAATTATATTAATGGTGTATAGTTATTTGTACATAAATTGTATTGCTTGGAATCATTAATTATACATTTATAGAAAATATATGTTCTTATTCCACGGAATAAAAATGGCAATGTTATATTTTTTTTCTCGTATTATATTAAATAGAGACAAGCGTCCTAAATAGGAAAGATATTCATTATGTAATAATCAAATTTTCTATATAGTAAATTATAATATAAATATTATTATATATTAATTTCAGATAATTGTATTTTTATTGTTATGTGTTTTTATTTTTTTTATTATTAAATACACATGGTCCAAATTTATTACTATAATAGAAAAATGTGTACAGACATATAAACAAATACTAACTAAGAAATCCTGATGTGCGTATGCATGCATTTAAAAAAAAATATAAGTAGAAATATATTAAAAAAAATTGATATTATGGAATGTTATATTAAAATAATTATTTGAATATTCATGACAAATATAAACAATAGAAGAAATAATGCGTTTATTTTTATAAAAATATGTAATGCATAATTAAAAAGTAAGGTGAAAAATTATTGCTGAAATTGTGTTTCATATGATTTTTCTATTACATATATATAATATTATTGCTTATACTTAATTATAGCTTAAAATAAATAAATGTATATTTTTATTTTAATTCTTATCATTTTTGATATATATATTAAAGGATATTTATCGTAATATTATATACATTACATATATATTAGTCTTTTTTTAAGACAAAAAAAGATATTAAAATGGAAAAAATATGTGCAATGAGAGGAATTGTAAATAGCAAAAGATATTTTTTAATTTATGTCCTTAATCATGAAAATAAAATTATATGATATAAGAATTCTAAAATTATTTTAATAAATGTGTAGATAAATGATATCATCAGTATTGAAAAATAACATAAAATAAAAATAATTATATTATGGAAGTAGATTTCAATTAAACAAGTACAAAATATATTACACATAAATTAAAATAAATTTTTAATTGCACATTTTCCGTAAAATATAATGTATATTTAGAATCAAATTCTAATATCATTACACATACTTGTAGGATGTGTAAATTTTAATGTTAAATATTATTTAATCATACATTATGTCATGATTATTACGTCATATTTATTAATATTTTTTTTTATATATAATGAGAATAACATGTTAAGCACATATGCATATAAATTTATAACATAGTGTTCTTTTCTTCTAAATTCAACTAATAAATGTATTCTTCATATTAAGTACATGGAAAAGGTTTTTTATTTAATATTATATATATGTTTGTGTAATCCCGTCTTATGCATTATACAATAGATCAATTTTAATATTATTCACATTAATAAATCAAATATTTTACTTTAATATAATACAAAATATGGTGTCTATGTGAACAGGTTATATAGTAAATATATTAATTGTAATTAAAGTTATTTAAATAAGATCCACATATACATATTTTTACTTTACTTAACAAATACAGAGAATTGATAAAACTGAAGAACGATTAAACCTTAATATATGCACATTAGATGACATATAAAAATAATATACAATGTTGCGAAGAAATTATTATATATTATCTACCATCTAACTAAAAAGAGGTGATTTTTTTTTAATTCAATTAATACTCATTTATTACGTGAATTATAAAAACATATACCTACGCTACATTAGGAATATCATTTATTAAAAAAAATAATAAAAGAATACTATTAATTATAAATACATATTATTTTAAAAAAATATAAATATATATTTTTTTTATAAATATAAATAACTTGTTAATTTCCCGTTTAAATATAGTAAAATTAACAAATCATATATATTCGGTACTTTAATTTTACTGCAATTTATAGTCCTCATATATTATATGTAATTATGTTGAAATAATTTATGAGTAATAAAATAATGAATATGTAAACACATTATTTTGAAAAATCTGTACAATGAAATACTATATAATGCGAAATTAATAAATATTTACGTATTCATAGCACATATATTATTTATTATATAATTCATACATTTAAATAATTTTATTTTGGTTATTAAAAACAGGGGATTATGTTAGTTATATTGGTATTAGAAAATATATGTATATATAATTTTTGTTATATATATCTTAAGATGTAAATATCCTAGAATAGTAAATATTTTACTTTAAAATATATTTCATACATATGTCATTCACGATCATTTAATTTTTATTTTTTTTTATTGATCTCATTCATGGATTAATATTTCCAGTATTATTGACCTCTTAAAATGTTGTGCTATTGAAAACAATGTAAAAGGGTTTAATGCAAAAATGGTAATGATTTTAATAGATATTAGAGATTTATTTTTTATTTTCACAATTTTTGAGGAATTTATCATATAGCTGTAAAAAGTATTTATATAATACTATCTTTCATATTTTAATTAATTAATATTTATATCCCAATAAAAAATAAAATATGTGCATAAATAAACAAGGTAGAATATATATGAAGATAAATTTTCTTGTAGATAAATATATTTTTAAATATATTAATATTACTATTAGTGTTAAATATATAATTTATTATATAAAATATAGTATCATTTATAAATTAAGATATATACATTATATATTATATCTATTTATACAAAGCTGAAATCCATATATACATTAATCTTGTTTTTATATTAAAAATATATACCCTCATTTGTATTTTAATTAATTAATATAGATTAGCTATAATTATTGTTGTATATGCGTGATAAATCATGTTTCCTATATACTATGTAATTTCATAAACTGTGATATTCGCAGTGTAAACATATGGGTATGTATCATTTAACAAATTAAATAATATTAATATTATTTCCTATATTCATATAAATATATAAATGAATTTATTGAAATTCATAGGGGTAATATATATTTATTTTAGTATTCTACCATTTGTGTTGAGAATAAATTGGGTTAT